GTCCCATAATGTAAGACGCTTTTTGACACTACACTAGTGTCAAAAAATGTCTTACATTATGGGACGAGGGAGTACTTTATTTCTTACTTCCTCCTTTCCAAGATATTTGAAGTTATAGGTTTGTCCTAAGTCAAACTCGTAAAATTTTGTATAAACTTGATCAAACTTAAGGAAGTTTGACTTAGGATAAACCTAGAAATTTTGGAATGGAGGGAGTATCTATGAACAGCACCTGTCCTAATTTCTTGTATGTATTCCAAGAAAGTCTGAATAGATAGCTAAATGTACCAGGCCACTAAATAACTAAATGATGCAAAGATTCTTACTTGTTCAGATTGCTGCATAACTGGCTTTCCACCTGGGGCATTTGGATCACTGCACCCAAAAGAAATTACATGAGAAACATCACCTTTTAACACGTTTGAAAATTGTTTTAGCTTTAGTTTAATCTGATTATACTGAAACATACTTCATGTAATTTTGGAAATAGATATCATCTTGGACTCCCAAAGTTAACACAGAGACCAAGTCAGGATGCTTGAGCTTTAGATGCTTGTGAACAAACTCAGGAGCATGGAAAACTTTTGCACACCCCATGGCTCCACACCCATACTTATAGCCATAATTCTCATCCACAATTTTCTTGACATAAGGTGTCAGAGCTTCAACAGTTGCTGTATCAATTTTGTCCTTGGCAGTCAATACAACTAGAGGATCCTCGCCATTCACCAGTCTTTCGTGCCAGAAGGAATCCAGTTTTTTCTCCCAATCAGCAGCACTGATGTTAAACGCATCAGCAATTTTGTTGTCAGCTCTCACATGACGAAAACCAGTTGCGTTTCTCCTCTCAGACATGCCATAGTAATCAACACCATGGACACGCCATAAGTAGGTAAGGAGAGTGTCAAGGAGCTCAACACCATCAAGGCCCTTGACAGTAGTTAAGCTCCGGATAATGACTAAAGGCCCTGCGGATCCAACATGTGATCTGTCATCATCTGGCTTGCCATGATCACCACCAATTGACAGAATGTTTCCAACAATACCCTTTTCCATGTCAAGCTTTCGCACTAAAGCTAGAGTTTGATCTATGTCAGCTTGAATTCGTCGATACTTTGAACTGACTGGATGAGCTTTCGGAGCAGTCGAAAGTGGTCCAGGTTCTTTTGGGGGACCTCTTCCATTCTTTCTTCTCTTGTTGCCATAATCTTCACCATTCCCAGAGCTTCCATAGTTGACATTCCCTGATTTGCTTGATCCATCAGCAATCATTCCAGGACCACTGGACCAAGACAATAAGGATATCAGCAAAACTGGCAAAATTGTGCAATATATATAAGACAAAATTAGATAGGATTAGAGATGCATCTCACAGGTCCAAAGTTCCACTTCGCAAATCAAGAATTAAACTCTTCGCTGCAGCCTTGCAAAACTCATTCCTCCTGAGTTAACAAAATAAGACATGCCAATGATCAGCAAAACTCAACTACCAACAAGAAAAGCTCAACTAAAAATAAGTACTCCCTCTGTAAACTAATATAAGAGTATTTAGAACACTAAAATAGTGATCTAAACGCTCTTATATTAGTTTACGGAGGGAGTAGAAAGCATACATAAAAATAACACATACAACTGTTTCATCTAGTCATGAAGTGTTACAATCATTTTTGGTGGTACTCAACACAGATCGGAGTACCAAAATTTGTGACAGTAAGCAAACTATTTTCAGAAAGAGAGGTAGCAAGTGTTTCACCTTTCAATAACAGATAATAAGCTTGTTGGGTGGTACTTCTCTTTCAACCTGCAATTACAGTCAAATGAAAGAACAAACCATTAGTTCCTTGAGAGCGTAAAGCTAACACCTCTAGATGAAAACATTTTAACATACCTAGTATCATCCTTATGGAGATCAAAATAGGCATGTTTCTGTGTAGTAATGTATGCTGTCTTGTATTCTTGGTACCTTGTTAACCATGGAAGGTTTAATCAGCCAATTAGGTGGTTCTCAACTGAAAGTGGTTCTAGTACCAATAGCTCAAAGTAAACTTCTGTTCGATTCTGTTGATTACCTGCTCTCAGCTTCAGCTGGTGAAACATCATCTTCAAGAGCTAGGATAAACTGTTTGTACGTCATTAATCCTTTTCTGAAAATATTCAGAATCATATATAGTCACATGCAGTGCAAGTATCGCCTATCAGGGATTCAAAATGGAAACAGAAGTAACCCAAGAGAAAGAAAAAGATAAACAATATACACATGGCTTGAGAACTTAGGAACTAACATTATAACATACTAAGCAGATCAAACCTATCCGTTATAAGGCAACAATTTCTATACCTTTGGGTTATATCTTGAACCTTACTGGAAGCACCATAGCCAGAGTTAGGCCCATCTGAAATACAAGCAAGTAATACATGATGTGAAAACGCATGAAGCTTGTGTGCTAACACTAGCTGTTGTTTCCTTCTGCATAAGCAGGCTGGTAGTAGAACAGATTAATTCACATGCTTGATACTAAGAATTGTAGATGTTCGAGACTAGTGGTAAGCCTAGAAGTAATAGAGCATATCATGCTGACACCACAAGTCTTCCATTTTCCTTTTCCTAAAGGGCACTAACAAAATTAGTGATGTTGACTCCAACTTGTCAAACGCTTATGAACTAGTAACTAGCATACACTTGATTGATGGGAGCAGTTGTTCAACCTAGGAAGCCCACAAGTCAAGCTTTAGTTGTAAATTCTTTTCTGAGGAACAGCTTATAAGTTATAAAATAGATACTGTGCATGGTGTACAAACTGTACAGCATCATGCATTACAACACCATAGTGTGCATAGTGCACGAGACTGAGGAGCTGACAAAATGTACAACACCATCACATTGCCCACATACGGATTATCAAACACGAGAAAAGCTTAAACCCTCACAAGCCTTTCAGGTCACGTGCTTGAGATCGAAGGCCGTAGGTGAGTGCTCCAAGAGCGAGCAGCTCAACTGACAGCCAAATCACACATGATAGTTACAAGTGTTTGGGCACAAGAATGACAGATGGCAAACAAGTTTTTCATTGACCTCAAATCAAACCCACATGTTTCGAGGTGAAGGTGGATCAGCAAGGTCTGACAGCTTAGTCTCGACCAGGCCAAGCTATCGCTTCACTATCTCAAAACAACCCACAGGCCGAGAACCCTCAAAACTCTGTTTCGCCGATCACGCGAACTTGTCACAGACAGAGACAGAGCGAATCAGGTTGGAAATGCATGCGACCAAGACGTGAAAGCTCATCAGAGTCGGCTCACCTGGAGCGCGATGCCCGGCGAACCTGCCACCGTCTCCGCCGCGCTCGTACCTACACCAAGCGCCGGCCAGGCACGCCCAGAAACACAGAGGTTAGCTTAGAACGGCACGGCGCGGAAGGGCACAAGTCCCGAAGCCTCACCTCCCGCCGCGCGGTGGGCTGCGTCGGCCAGCCCCATCGTCCCTTCGAGGCCGCTTGGGCGGGTCGGGAGACGGCGACCTCCTCGGCGGGGAGCGGTGCCGCCTCTTCCCGTCGTTTGATCGCGAAGGCGACCTCCGCCGCGGCGGGCCCATGATTTCTGCGGGGCTGGAGCTCCTGGAGGAGCGCGACGAGTCGCTCTCCAAGCGGTAGGTGACGCGCACGGGGCGGGAGGAGCCGACGGGGGGAGGTGGCGGGAGCGGCACGTGCACGCGCTCCGGCGACGGCTTCCCGCGTTGGCGTGGCGAGCGCGAGCGGCGCCGCGCGCCCTGGCCGCCTCCGGGGCTGGAGCTCCTCCCATCGCTGCGCGGCGAGTCGGCGTCCATGCGGTGGCCGGCGACGCGCTCGGGGCGGGACGAGCCGAGCGGGGGAGGGGGAGGGAGCGCCTGCGCCTGGGCCTGCGCGGCGCCCTCCGAGCGGGAGGCGATGGCGTCGACGAGGCGCACGGGGCGGGAGGAGCCGAGCGGCGGGGGCGGCGGGAGCGGAGGGTCGTCGTCGGCGTCGGCGTCGGCTTGGTCGGCCCACGAGCGCGCGGGCCCGGGCCGCGCGTGGCGATCGCCGGGCGGCGCGGCGAAGAGCGGGCGGACGGGCTGGTCTCCAGGAGAGCGCGGGGCGTCCCACGTAGGCCACATTGGCGCGGGAGCACGGGGAGACGCCTCGCGAGGGGTTCGGGCTGTGACCGGTACGGCCGGACGGCGCGGCGGCCGAGGTTTAGCAGGCGGAGAGGAGAGGCGTGGGGAAGAAGAAGTGGGTGAGAGAGAGAGCGGGGGAGGGAAAAAGCTGCAGAAACGGCAGGGGTGATCACGCACACAGCGTCACAGCACACCACGCCGTGCGCCGCGGAGGGGTGCCAGGCTGTAGCGTCTGGGGTGGATTTCGTGCGGGCCGCGTCGGGCTAACGGGCCTGGGCTGGGCCCGGTGGCAGAAATTGCATTGGGCCTGCTTGTTCGATGCTTCCAGAGCACAGGGCAAAACGAACCAGCCATGCTGAAGTAGGCACCAAACGCTGCCAGAAAAACGATTTGCGATATCGGATGCCATAACGCCGATCCAGGGAACACATCAAGAGGCAGGAGGAAATCGGCTGGAGTCAATGGAGGGATCGCATTGTACTCCAGCATATACAGTCACTTGTATGCACTGTATTTATCATCACCATCTAATCTGAACAGAAAACACCCCGTCGTCTCTACCAGTTCTCAAAATATGAAGGGCAAGAGGCCTACACAGTGAATGCCATGAATGTTACAGTATGGACTATACATACATGCAGAAAAGCTCTCCTCTGCATTCCAGAGCATACATTTCATCCGGTAATCAGTAGTCTTACTGTGTAACCCCTGATTGTGTGACCATATGGTACTGTTTCTCGTCTCAACACGAGAGAATCACTGATGGCGAGATATGGTGCATGTGACTGTACATGGGGATTGGGGAGGGAAGCTACTTGAGTTTGATGGCGACGAAGGGTTCGGAACCTGACGGCGGGAGCGGTGCCGGCTCTCATGAGCAATCGAGTTCGGAGCTCGCCAGCCTCCGCTTCAGCGACTCGTTTTCCTTCCGGAGCTTCATGACCTTCTGCTTCAGCGACTCCACGTGCTGGACCGAGACGGAGTCCCTTTGCTGCTCTGCATGCTTCATCTTGAGAATCCTCACTGGATCAAAAAAAGAAGATCAAATTGCTGTCAAGAAGTGGTTAGGTTAACTGGCACAAGAAAGCGTGAACGGGCAACCCAAAACTGTTTAAATCTGCACGGTTGACAAAAACACTTGTTTATTTGGCCCACCAGTCCAGATTACACTTACGCTCATTTTCTGCAGTTTTAAGCTTCCTTTGCGTGTCGTCTTTCTCCTCTTGTTCCACCATGATTACATCGTGCAAATCCTGGATATCGTTTTTATCTGTAACAGGAGCAAAGGGGGTGTTTACATTATCAGAGATAAGAGACGATGATCCAAGGGATCAGCACGGAACGCAAGTTTAGAGCATTACACTTCATATGTACTTCAGCAGTGACCTGCTCCAACTTGCTACCTAGCATGTCGATGTGAGCTTTATGAGCACCCAGGTCCAACTTGAGTTGTTTTATTGCAGCCTCATCAGCAGCTTGCTGAACAAGAGCACAGCTGGTTGCAGCGGAAGTTAGCTCTTCAGTTTTCACAAAACAATCAACAGGATGATTTGATCTGAATCCCCAGCTTCTCGCTACAGTAATATGTCACCTCCCATGGAACGTTTCTTTACCTGAGTTTGCTCTCCAGGGCATTGCAATTCATTTCATTGTCATGCTTAAGTTGTTCGATCTCCCTCTTATGCTCCTGTTTGAATATAAGATTCATGTTAGATTGATTTTATGGATTAACTGGATGCTTGGAAGCAGTTAACTACCTCTTCCATGGATAGCAATCTGCTATTTGCTTTTCCTAATTCTTCCTTCAGACCTTGAGCTTCTGTGTGATATTTAATCTGAATAAAATCAATCATATCAGAAATAGTCCATATTTTGATGGGCATGATTTTATTGCATATTAAAACCTAGTACCTTGCCCTATAGTTAAACTTCATATATTGTCAGCTTTCAAGCACAAACAGGAAAACAATCAGACCAAATTGTACAATTCGTGGCTGGGCATCCACGTTGTTCCTCTTAGCTGCGAGATTGTAGCCTCCAGCACTATGTACCTTTTCTCTGTTTTTCTCTCCCTCTGACCCCATGTACTTCTGATGCTGAGCACTTTGTAACACCTTCACGATCGCAATAAAGGTTCAGGCAGGCGTAAGCCCGCCGTTGACGCGTCAAAAAAAAATTGTACAATTCATAAGTTAATAGAATGGACCAGAATATCCACAAGAATTATAGTCCTCCCATGAACTCAATCTCACAAGTGTAAAGGACAGCAAACAGTCTCGAGCTAAGACCATCAACTTAACAGATTTCATCTACATCCACTAGTTGACGACTGACGATGAAAACTAATTTAGTTATTTCATCATCTTATAGTATTATAAATTCACCAGCCTTGGAAAGCAGACAGTTGCGTAGCATTGTAACTGCACATAGCATTACAGCAAGTAGCAAACTACCTGGTTGGTGAACTTGAATAAAGTTTCAGTGTACAGCCTCCTTAACCGCTCATTATCTGCGCAACAGAAAAAAACTCAATGCTTCTTCCAACCTCAGCAAGCAATGGAAATTATCACCTGTTACATGATTTACATTAACAGGAAAGCAAAAAAAAAAAGCTGGACTGGATTGTGGAAGAATGCTGGAATTTCAGTTAAACCTTTCTTGAGATCTGTTATATGCGACTCAAGAGCTTCACGCTTCTTGGATTCAGAACTGCAGCTCACTCTTAAAGCCTGGACCTCAGCTAGTGCATCTTTATACCCCTGTTCAGAATAAAGAGCCAGTAAACAACAGAAGATCAACACAGCACAGGAAATAAATACTTGGATACAGATCATTTTTTCTTAGGCAATGAAAACTGTTAGATTAGAAGTCAGTGGCAACACTTGAGTTCTGGAAGCAGCAGAATTTGCAAAATCAGTCTCTCCTGCCCCACAGAATTTATTGGGGACTTAGGAATTGAAATAGCATCTCAATCCAGGAATAATTTGCAGTGGGTTCGACGGAGAATCGAGCGCTGGAGTTGAACTACTGTGGAAATTTCCCCGCACAGCAGCATCTCTCCATGTCAATGGGACGAGACGCTCCTCGGCATAACCAATCAGCTAGCACAATCCGCAGCATTGGCCAAAAATGCAACCATACGGGAAGGGAAGCTGCTACCATCAAAGACGCAAAATGCTCTCGATTCCCCCAATGCCGTCGGAGACAATCTATTCGGCGTTCTCCATCTCGTAGGCATTTCGTCTAACACCTGAGCGTATGTGTGTTGGCGTTCCCCCGGAAGGTTCGGAGATTGCTGCGACGGCTCGAGCTCTTCGGCACCTGAACGTGGCGTTGATCCAACCCCAAAATCCGAGACGGACGGGGTGCAAGCGAGGCGCGAACCAGCGGGAGCGGGACGGTGGTAGGGTGGGATGCCGCGGTGCGGGGCTACTGACCTGGGAGAAGCGATGGAAGTTCCGGAGCAGCGACTCCAGCTCCCCGTCCCCCGCCGCCGTCGTCGCCGCCGCCGCAGCCGCCGCCATCGCCGCGCGTCACCTGTCCTGGGCTCCCCGCGTTGCTCTTGCTCTGGTCGTGGGTGGTGGTGGGACGCGCCGGCGAAAATGAAAATTAACCAAGCCTTACACTAACCCCTCTGACGAAAGTAAAAATTATAAACAGACCCAAATGGATTTCTTTTAGGGGTGAATGGATTTCTTTTGTGGTGTCAAATTGATTGTCGAATGTCACGGCTCATACATTAGCGCAATTATGTGCGAAAATACATAGCTGGACACGAGAACATCTGCTCCTGGATGAGCAGTAAATTAAAATAAGGAAATTTTCTGTGGGCGTGCAAAGATTATGACAATGTGACATAGGAGGAGCTCGGGACACAAAAAGCAAAATCAATGTTCCAAAACCAAAAATTCTAAACCTTTCTTGAAACTCTGTTTTCTTGTCCAGAGCCCCTACGATGTCATATCGCCACAAATTTTTACATACACCTAAAAAACTTGTGCACCAAAACATTCTCCTCAATTGTGTGCTACTTATGATTTTATCCTGTGCAATGTAACTTATTCGAGGAACTCTTTGTAGTGAATTTTTGTGACCAATAAAGAGTGACATTCTCTAAAAAAATATTACATTGGTAAAAAGTTCCACCATACAATATTCAGGTGGGTAATAACCTTGGAACCCTCCTTTATTCTAATTTTGTTTTTTTAATCTTGCCATTAAAGAGGTTTTCATGTGGTGTAAAATTTTCAATCAAAGGAGCTTTTGGACCCCATTTTCATGTAAGAAAACAGAGTCTTGTACAAGAAGAAACATCATCGGCCATATATATACCCCCAAAGCCTACAGAGCATGCATCCAGGGTGAAAAACTAAAAGAAAATGAAACTTAACTAGGGGAGATACATTGCCCTTTCACATCCCGTGACTACAAGCTATAGGAGCATAACCACACACAGTTGAACTCAACCTAGAGCAGAGACTGTATATTATAGACCATGCAAGAGAAAGCAGTGGAACAAAGTAGTAAAGCCCAAAATCATTTTCACGGGTAGACACATATCCCGTTGACCGTAGACCTCTAGCATATGCTCTTTCTTGAAGATTTCACTCGTCACTTGAGCAAGTCTTCTAGACACCATCACAACTTCTTTTTTGCAATCCTCTTTTCTATAGTATAAGATTAGTGGGGACATTAAGAAGTATACTTGAAAGCAAGATTTGTTTCATGTTTTCCAAATAGTCCATAAAAGTCCAGCAACCCCTAAAGAGATTATAGCTATATCCTTGCCAATATATCTATACAACCAATTCTGTCATACATCAAGAGATTATAGCTAGATAGTCCATAAAAGTCCGGCAACACCTAAAGAGATTATAGTCGGATTTGGGGGTTTTGGAATTTCCCAAAGCAGCCCCAATAACATTCCGTAAAAACCTAGCCAATGAGCAAGAAAAGAAGAAGTGATCATTACTCTCTTCATTGTCACGGAACTCAACTTCCTATTTCATGTCCACTCTTTGTTACTCAGTTTATCTTTGGTCAGAACCCCGTTTTTAGTAACAAGCCAGGAAAAGGCTTTAACTTTTAAATCCATTTTCATCCTCCACAACAACTTGTCGGGGGGAGACAACATGTCTAGCAACGATGTAATGATAAAGTGATTTAACTGAGAAAGTACCCAAGATTGTACTATGTACCCCACCCCCACCCCCAAATCCAATTGATGCAATGCGGGAGTAGGGTTTTACCTCGAGAGCAAGGGCCCGAACTTGGGTAACTTTGCTCCTTGCTTCCCATCTAGGATTTCCAGCTAGTTGCGGTACCCTAACGCGTCTATCGGAATATACATCCACTATAGGTGATGTGATCAAAACAATGTGTATCTCAACAACGCATGATGTATCTGAATCAACAAGTTGTACCTTTGGTGGTACCTTGTTGCAACAACTTAGATGGTGTAGGTGCCGGTGATGGTGAGCAAGAGCTGGAGTCGTTGTGGTCGTAGTGGTCTAGCACAAATATACATATCAGTAATGAAACGAGGAATATATTGAAATCTAGACCGAATGTCATGGTTCAATCCATTGAAAAATTTATTCTTTGTCCTTGGATTCGTTTATCTCAAAACAATGCATATACAATTTCAGTAGTTGAGAGTAAGCACAACCCGGGCTCAAAATCGCATTTCTGACATGTTCCTTTTTTACCACTAATGTAGAATTTCTATATTTTGTTTCGTCTGTGTGGTACCCTCATAATGCGCTCCATGGCCTACTAGCATGGTCAACCTTGACACTGTGAGTGGTTGAGTGTTAATCTAGTGTATTATGTTAAATTTGGCCCAAATAATGTTAAATATTATGTGTTTATGTAAAGAAATAAATTTGGCTGGGAGAGGGGGGCAATAGTCCTCTAGTTAATTCTATGCTATAGCTCTCGTGGGTGATGCAGAAGAGCAACAAAGAGCGGACATATTCCGCACACAAAAGGTTTTGGGTTCCTTGACAAAGTGGTGCTCAAAACCAAAGACACCAACTCCAAGCTCGCCACGTGTAGCCAAACGCATGAGAAATGGAAGCTGCACACGGTGAAGAAGGTGGAGCAAGTGAAGAGCATCCCGCGGACCCTCCCAGTCTGGCTCTGCACCGTCCTCTACTCCGCCATTTACACCCAAATGGCGTCGCTCATCTCGTGTAGGGAACCGCGATGCGCCAAACCACACCTTGGCGCGGATTTTCAATCCCGGCATCCAGCATGTCTGTCTTCAACATTCTCATGGTCGCAGCCACCATCTTCTTGTAGAACTGGGCCATCTTCTTGTTCCTGGCATGGCTTATCGAACGCCCGGCCAGACCCAACGAGCTACAATGGATGGGCTTTGGCCTGGTCCTTAGCAGGGTGAGCATGAGTTGGAATCGTTGCACTTGTAGTGGTCTAACCCCTACTCTTTTTCTAAAGAAATATAAGAGAGTTTAGATCACTAGAGGGTGTACTATATGTCTCTCAAAAATACAAGAAATATAAGAGCATTTAGATCACTAAGTAGTGACCTAAACGCTCTTATATTTCTTTATAGAGGGAGTACTATATGTCTCTCAAAAGCACAAGCATAAATATACATATCAGTAATGGAACAAGAAATATATCAAAATCTAGACCAAATGGCACGGTTCAAGCCACTGAAACAATACATAGAAAATTACGGTTGTTGATAGTAAGCATTGACTGTGTTACTACCTTATTCTAATTACATGAAAAATTATAAGTACAAGAATCTGAAGGAAATATGCCCTAGAGACAATAATAAAGTTGTTATTTATATTTCCTTATATCATGATAAATATTTATTATTCATGCTAGAATTGTATTAACCGGAAACTTGATACATGTGTGAATACATAGACAAACAGAGTGTACCTAGTATGCCTCTACTTCACTAGCTCGTTAATAAAAAATGGTTAAGTTTCCTAGCCATAGACATGTGTTGCCATTTGATGAACGGGAACACATCATTAGAAAATGATGTGATGGACAAGACACATCCGTTAGCTTAGCACTATGATCGTTTAGTTTGTTGCTATTGCTTTCTTCATAACTTATACATGTTCCTATGACTATGAGATTATGCAACTCCCGAATACCGGAGGAACACTTAGTGTGATATGAAACGTCTCAACGTAATTGGGTGATTATAAAGATGCTCTACAGGTGTCTCCGATGATGTTTGTTAAGTTGGCATAGATCAAGATTAGGATTTGTCACTCGGTGTATCAGAGAGGTATCTCTGGGCCCTCTCGGTAATGCATATCACAATAAGCCTTGCAAGCAATGTGACTAATGAGTTAGTTGCGGGATGTTGCATTACGGAATGAGTAAAGAGACTTGCTGGTAACGAGATTAAACTAGGTATTGAGATACCGATGATCGAATCTCGGGCAAGTAACATACCGATGACAAAGGGAACAACGTATGTTGTTATGCGGTTTGAACGATAAAGATCTTCGTAGAATATGTAGGTGTTGGAAATATGCCCTAGAGGCAATAATAAATTAGTTATTATTATATTTCCTTGTTCATGATAATCGTTTATTATCTATGCTAGAATTGTATTGATAGGAAACTCGGATACATGTGTGGATACATAGACAACACCATGTCCCTAGTAAGCCTCTAGTTGACTAGCTCGTTGATCAATAGATGGTTACGGTTTCCTGACCATGGACATTGGATGTTGTTGATAACGGGATCACATCATTGGGAGAATGATGTGATGGACAAGACCCAATTCTAAGCCTAGCACAAAGATCGTGTAGTTCGTATGCTAAAGCTTTTCTAATGTCAAGTATCATTTCCTTAGACCATGAGATTGTGCAACTCCCGGATACCGTAGGAATACTTTGGGTGTGCCAAACGTCACAACGTAACTGGGTGGCTATAAAGGTACACTACAGGTATCTCCGAAAGTGTCTGTTGGGTTGGCACGAATCGAGACTGGGATTTGTCACTCCGTGTAAACGGAGAGGTATCTCTGGGCCCACTCGGTAGGACATCATCATAATGTGCACAATGTGATCAAGGAGTTGATCACGGGATGATGTGTTACGGAACGAGTAAAGAGACTTGCCGGTAACGAGATTGAACAAGGTATCGGGATACCGACGATCGAATCTCGGGCAAGTACAATACCGCTAGACAAAGGGAATTGAATACGGGATTGATCGAATCCTTGACATCGTGGTTCATCCGATGAGATCATCGTGGAACATGTGGGAACCAACATGGGTATCCAGATCCCGCTGTTGGTTATTGACCGGAGAACGTCTCGGTCATGTCTGCATGGTTCCCGAACCCGTAGGGTCTACACACTTAAGGTTCGATGACGCTAGGGTTATAAAGGAAGTTTGTATGTGGTTACCGAATGTTGTTCAGAGTCCTGGATGATATCCCGGACGTCATGATGAGTTCCGGAATGGTCCGGAGGTAAAGATTTATATATGGGAAGTCCTGTTTTGGTCACCGGAAA